CACCCTGTAAGGACGATTCCATGTAAGGCCATTAGATGGTATATTTTTTCTGGACACCCTGTAAGGAAAATTCTATGTAAAGCTATAAGATGGTATACTTTCTCTGGACATCCTGTAAGGATGATTCCATGTACGGCTATAAGCTGGTATTTTTCTCTGGACCTCCTGTAAGGATGATTCCATGTAAGGCTATAAGATGGTATATTTTCTCTGGACACCTTGTAAGGATGATTCCATGTAAAGCTATTAGATGGTATATTTTCTCTGGACACCGTGTAAAGATGATTCCATGTAAAGCTATTAGATGGTATATTTTCTCTGGACACCTTGTAAGGATGATTCCATGTAAAGCTATTAGATGGTATATTTTCTCTGGACACCGTGTAAAGATGATTTCATGTAAAGCTATTAGATGGTATATTTTCTCTGGACACCTTGTAAGGATGATTCCATGTAAAGCTATTAGATGGTATATTTTCTCTGGACACCGTGTAAGGATGATTCCATGTAAAGCTATTAGATGGTATATTTTCTCTGGACCTCCTGTAAGGAAGATTCAATGTAAAGCTATTAGATGGTATATTTTCCCTTGACACCCTGTAAGGATGATTCCATGTAAGGTTATAAGATGGTATATTTTCTCTGGACCTCCTGTAAGGAAGATTCAATGTAAAGCTATTAGATGGGATAATTTCTCTGGACCTCCTATAAGGAAGATCCCATGCAAGGCTACAAGGCGGTATATTTTCTCTGGGCACCCTGTAAGGAAGATTCCATGTAAAGCTATAAGATGGTATATTTTCTCTGGACCCCGTGTAAGGAAGATTCCATGTAAGGCTATTAGATGGTATATTTTCTCTGGACGCCCTGTAAGGGTGATTCCAAGTAAGGCTATTATATGGGATATCTTCTCTGGACACCCTGTAAGGATGATTCCATGTAAGGCTATAAGATGGTATATTTTCTCTGGACGCCCTGTAAGGGAGATTCCAAGTAAGGCTATTATATGGGATATTTTCTCTGGACACCCTGTAAGGATGATTCCATGTAAGGATATAAGATGGGATATTTTCTCTGGACCTCCTGTAAGGATGATTCCATGTAAGGCTATTAGATGGATAGTGTAATATCCATGCAAAAGATTGAGTGATTTTGCAGAATTTTGGAACAGAGAAATTGGGGTCGACACAAATGACATTAGTGGCTATAATCCCTGCAGTGACTCTCCAATTGAACAACCGACCATATCAGAGTTTTCCGTGCACGATGACGTGGCAAACTGCGTGCCATCGCATTCCGATGACGTGGATTCTTGCTCATGATTTCGACCACTGTTTTCATTTTTAGACTCATTTATTTCACCCTGAAAGACGTTCTAAAGAACACAAATGCATCACTATCATCAACATTATTCCATTAACCGCCGGACACGCACCAGAAATACAAGTATCCTGCCTCTGGCAAGGGACTTGTTAATAGGCATTTCCTTTTTATAAATATTCATGGCGCTCCACAGTGCTATGTCAACAACTTTCATGTCGACTGCCGCCATATACCTTGTTTAAAGATAACACTGAAACGAATGAACTCGAATATTAGAAGTCTTTGATGTTCGCGATCTCGGTGTTACACACTTCTCATACATGTGTGTATTACTCTCAATGTGAGTGAGTGAGTGAGGTTTTACGCCGCCTTTAGCAATATTCCAGCAATATCACGGCGGGGGGACACCAGAAATGGACTTTGCACATTGTACCCATGTGCGTGACGAGCGAACGCTTTAACCACTAGGCTACCCTACCGCCCTACTCTCTCTGATGTAGTGGTATGTTATGAGGTATTTCAGAGACATGACATACGTCCTCTCTCACAGACAATACGTATCCAGGCTTAATCAAAGTAAATGATAAATGCAAAGTGACTATTAAGGTATCCAACAAATTGTACAACGATGACACCAGTTCATTTAATATCTCATTTATTCCTAAAGCACAGCTGATTGAGATAAATGTGGTTCTTGAAACATAATGCCTGTCTTGTCAATGGATCTTTGACCCATATATTTTGGGAATGTTACTAAGACAACGCAATCATAGAATGTCTGGAAACTGCCTATTTTTAAAAAGCTAATATAAATGCAAATGAGTCGGTCGCAGCATTTTCTACAGGCTCTTTCATAAAAATAGAACGAAGAAAATCAAAGACGCCTGAATGAAATTAAGACCTTTCTCATTGAAAGTGCTCTTGCTAAAATGCTGTTTGATATATGATGTAATTATATCAAAGATCATAATGATTGTCGTTATTAAGTTTTAAGCCATATTAAAATGTAGATTGGAGCGGTTTGTGCAAACTTTAAAGACACTTACGAGGATCATGTTTATAAATCGAACAAAAACGTAGCAGCTTTGCTGACTACAAGGAAATTTTAAACATGGTTTCACTTCAATATACAAATTTATTGATAGACTGTTATGGAAACCTTTCAACAACTTGGGGGTAATATAGACAATGGACCGATGTCATAGTTTGGTCCGGGTCTTGCCCACCCTGTGATCTTGAAACTATAATGTTCCTTCAGCAGTTGTTCGATTGTGTTTGCTTGTTGTTTGTTGTTTAACGCCGAGATCTGTAAATAATCGAGTCTGGACAATCCAGTGATCAACAGCATGAGCATCGATCTACGCAATTTGAATACGATGACATGCGTCAGCCAAGTCAGCGAACCTGACCACCTTACGATAAGCATGGATTGCTGAAGAATTCTAACCCGGATCGTAACGTGCCTAGTTGGTCAAGAAATATTGATAGGTATACGGCCATTTCTGATGGATCAAAGTCAAACTTCATTTTTATGCAGTAAAAACAGATACAGATAATACATACATCTTTATCATCCAAAACTGTGTTCCACAGGAGATATCGCTTTGACAGTAGATTTTGTACAATGCCCTGACAATGCTATGACGTCATGAACTTGATGACGTCACAATGGCAGTACTGTGTTCAGAGATGTAAATTTTTCATTGAAAACTAATGAAGGGTGATTTTGGATGATAAATAGAATCTCACCCTCGTGTCTTCTGATATCAAATATATCAACACTCGTTGATAAAAGTTAAAATATCCTCGGCAAGCCTCGGATATTTGTAACTTTATCAACTCGTGTTGATATAATTGATATCAGAAGACACTTGGGTGAGATTCTCTATGTACGGCGACGTAAACAAATCTGAAAAGCAGAATACCAAGGAGGCTCAATAACTCCGATATTACATTAAACAATGCCCATTTGTTGAACAGAAAGATATAAGTTAGACTTGTGTCAGCAACATTACGATGACATACCACTACGGCATGGCGCATTGCAACCAAGTTAGGATTCGAAAGCGGTAGTATGCAGGAGCAGCTGGTGTTTTACCATTTCGACTAGAACACTGATGACACATATCCGTGCAATGTCATGCACGAGATCAACTAAAATATCCAGAAAATTCGTCTGATAGTAAAAAGAAGATGACTTCGGAATTTACTTTAGTGATATGTACACCCTGAATACTTACACACAATAAGGGAACAGATCAGGGCCATTTATTTGTTTTCTTTCTTGTTCGTTCAAGATATAAAGTTGAAAATTCAGGATGCTATGTGAATAAATTTATGATGGAAAATCCAAGGTAATATATATGCATTATATATTTAACATTCCTAAATATAGTCCAGAACTGTCAATATTGTACCTTGAAAGTCAACACAATATATTGAATTCGACAGAGTATATTAGTATCTTGACAATCTATATTGTACCTTAAAATTCAATAATAAACCATATTAAAATTCAATAATATACCATATTGAAATTTCAACACGCTGTTAGTATCGAGAATGTTTTTGCTAAAAATACCCCTAATGGACTTCCATAGGAATAAGCCAATCAACACTATTTAATGTTTTTGACATATATCGTGCACTTCCACATGTCATTTGTAAATATTGACAGATGACGAGTGTTGATGCACCCAATGACTACGATACAATCGAGACCACAGGATACGATTGTACTAATACATAACCGGGCCACATCAAATACGCAAAACGACACAACACAGGAAGTAATTGAAAGGATTGTCAGTTAGCTATTGACAGGAAACCGTAACGAACATGTCATTAGCTGATCGATTTCGGCTTGTGTATTTCAATACGTATACGTCCCCAAGTGAACAATAACAAATTTGTTACTACAGTAAATACACGATATGTTTTAAACATGACTCATTAGTCATTAGTAATCTCCAGTAAGTACAGCAAACTTCACCAGGCCTATGTGTATACATCACTGAATTTATATCCTCGAAAATACTGTTAGTAAACTGCGGATGTGTCGAAGTGGGATATAAAGAAGTGTGGCTTTATCGAGGATAGTCCCGTCCGTGGTGTAAGAGCAAATAATGTAAACATGTTAATTCTATTGGCGAATTTCAGATACAGTATACAAAGTGTTTAGTGGCGCTAGAGAGGCCGTCACGTCAGAAACCATCTGTACAGTTCATGAAAATATCGGAAACCGATAGCCATCCACGTTGACACTTCAACTCTGACAGGTTGACAGGTTCCCGTTGCAATTGCTTTTTTCAAGAAAATATAATTTTAGAATATGGCCTCGAACTAGAAGTTTTGGAAAGTGACACATCCGCAGTTGACAATTAATAATAGTACAAAATACAATTGTTTAAGAAAAACAAATTTGGAGTAAGGCCTTGCACCAACCTACAAAACTAGGAGTTCGACACATCCGAAGTCGACTACTAATAACAATTTTAAACAATTGTGTATTTGGTATAGGACATAAAACTAACTCTGAAACCCAGGAGTTGGGCCATGAATAATAGTAATCTGCTATAAATACAATTCAAGAATAAGTAATTGGAATCAGACAGGGAACTCATCTAGACGCCTGGGAGTTTGTAACACCCGAAAAAACATATGAGACGCAGTCCTACCTCTAGTTCCGACATAGGTTTCATCCACGATACCAGGGAACGGGTTTCCTGTGAGGACTGGGATGTGGGGCTCTGTATACTTCATCCGCTTGTTGATGGTGATGTTGTAAAGGTTCGACAACTCTGACAGTTTTTCGGCAATTGTTTGATCCTGGTGTGTCGATCCGACGACGAGCGTGTAGCGACGCCAGTTGAAGTGAAGCAGGAGGGAGATTATGGATTTCGTCACCTGAGTCGCTGGAGGAAATGTCCTGGCGAATGTCGGATAAAGTGACTTCTCGGATACCTCGTAATCGGAGCATTTCTGGAAAAGATAAATACAAATATCAGTTGATGAATATTTTGGGTCTGTCGCCGCTTTCATTTGTATTCCTGCACTATAAAGTCGATAGAGGTTAGAATTAGGCTATGGGGTCTATCCCCCGGAAAAGAAAACAAATCAATAAATAGAAACAGCCATTTCAGGGATTTTAAATCAATAAACGATATCGTTATTTTCTATTACAAAGTTTCTGAAAACAGATTACTCTGTGCAAATTACATTCACTCTTAATATCGGAAAGGCTTAAGACAGACAGAAGTAGCTACAGAAATGTCGATTCACTGAAAACTAGACGACGTTTATCGAATATCTGTGATGATCCGTATAGATTATACAAATATTTCTGTGAAATATGGTTTCAAACTTCACTGGACTCTTTTGAAATTTTCTTTTGTTTTAAGATATGACTCTAAGAAATATGAAGTATTGACATTTCCAGTTCGACATCATGGTTCTCCTTGTACAAAACGACCCAATCCTTACGTACTTAGATGTTCATACATAAAAAAGCCTCGCACAGATGTGGAACTTGTTTAGAGATACGCCTGGCCTTCGCGCTACGTTCGCGCTAGACGTTAATACGCTCTCCAAAATGTTCGCGTTTGAAACTAGGCGATTCCGCTGAGACTGTAGCGCACAGGCCTATTCTTTGAAACATCGTCTACCACCAATACACAACACTTTACTCTTTAAGAGGCAGACGCATTTGTGATATCCAGCGTGGTAAACATAGTTCATACAATGACAAATGGATAAGAATCAATTTGATATCTTTAACGCAGTCTTAAAGATCAGTTCACTTATGTCAAGGCGAGCCGGCATGCTGTGAGAGAGAATATGTCACCCTCTCCAATACCTATTTCCTGTCGAGGTCTAGACGTTGTAATTGAACCATTTTCTCAGTGTAATTAGGGTAATGATGTACCGATAGACCGATCTATCATACTATTAATGATAAAGTATTGGTGGAAAGACTTGATTCTACCAAAACACAGTGGATGATAACTAGTGAAATTCTACCCTGATCAGTTGACGTCAGCATCTAAGGGGCACGATTCACATCTGTTGATCCTTGAGATTTTTGGACATATGTGCCCCTGAATTGTTTAAACCTTTGTTGATGTTCTGCGGTCTGAGAACTGACCATCATAATTGTTCCGTTGGGGTGTAACTTGGTACCTCTGTAGTCCTAAACGTTCCTGTTACCACATCAATCTGAATGATGTCTTTTCGTCTTGAGAATGAAAAGAATAATTCGGTTTTGTTAATGCAATTAAATATAGATCAGACGAATATTCTTTTTGTTTTATTCAACCAAGTCATCAACGTTTCTATCTTACAGTTTTCATCAGATTGAAGTCGGACAAGAGCCGTCAGGTTTTACACGTCTAGAGCTTTTTAATTTTGTAAATGAAGTTTTCAAGTAATTGTATTTGCTTGTTGGTGACATGAAAGAGTCGGTTGCATAGAACAATGTCACTTTGAGCAGAGGCGAAAGAGATCAAAGCCTTATAAAGTCGTGCGTGATGGCGTTGCATCATTGGCGACTACCTCTAAAGTGACGTTTCCAAGACCGTCAACAGAAGAACCAAGCATCTTGTGATTGAACCCAGGGATGTATAGTGGGGGATAATTTTGAGTGGGACATGAACCATTATTGGTTTGGCACTGTCACAGAAGTTTATTGGCAGACCTCACCTTGACGGCAAACCGGACTCAGATGCCAAAATGTCGCTTCCATCAAGAGGAACTGTGTTAATGCCCAAATTGGGGATCTACAATTAAGCCAAGTTGTCAAACTCTGCTTAATTTCAGTAAGGAAGATGTCACTTTGGCAGAATCTTTCCTGTGTTCTGAGATTGATATGTCGCGTGTGTTTGTGATGATGGACAGTGTAGTGTCCGTTTCTATCGCCAAGCGATTGTGATAAGCCTTGATGTCTACGCAGACAGCTTTCAGACGTACATTTCTCAAGAGAGTTGTAGCTTGATTGTGTTAGATGTCATTTAATAGGCCAATCTGCAGAAGCGTCCCAGATCTGTGGTTGATTGTTTTAGTTGTTAAGTAAGTTGTAGGTCCTTCAACATCATCTCAGGATTGGATATCTAAATATCTTATTCCTTTAGAAGAAATTAAATGAACGGTTTGAAGAGAAACTGTCAATGTATATATCTTAAGCCGATGAAGGAACGTGATGTAAATAGTATTGTGTCATGGTATGGCAGTGGCACCGTTCGTAAAGCTAGACTCTACCGTCATACCTTCGATTGTGTAAAAAGCTGGAGACAGACCAAAGTACAAGCGGGGAAATTTGGATAAAATCCACCCTTGATCCCTGGAGGGCAATTATCAACACACACACACACACACACACGCGCACACACACACACACACACACACACACACACACACTCACACACACACACACACACACACACACACACACACACACACACACACACACACACTGCGACATGGGTCGCTATAAAGTCGGAATTAGATCGAACCAGAACAAGCAGCAGCGTGTACGCACACACACATGCACACCATGCACGTTGCTGTTTAAATGAAGTATCCTGAACGTGACGTTAGATTTTCACCAAAACTGTCTGTACGTAATGCTACCACCACCACTACTGCTTCAAGTACTACTGCTACATAACTACTACTATTACTGCTGCTGCTTCTACTACTACTGATACTACTACTACGACTACTACTGATACTACTACTACTACTGCTACTACTACTACTACTACTACTACTACTGATACTACTACTACTACTACTACTACTACTACTACTACTGATACTACTACTACTGATACTACTACTACTGATACTACTACTATATTACTACTACTACTGATACTACTACTACTACTGATACTACTACTACTACTGATACTACTACTACTACTGATACTACTACTACTACTACTGATACTCCTGCTACTACTATTACTGCTACTACTACCACTGCTTCATTACTACTACTTCTACTATTGATACTGCTGATGTTGATGCTACTACTACTACTGCTGCTGCTGCTGCTGCTGCTACTACTACTACTACTACTGCAATCTGACAATAAACATCGCACGGTGAACTATGTCGTCACGTTCTCTCACAAAAGACGCCATCATTACAGAATGACTTCCATCGAACACATTCATGTCGGGGAGACCTCATTTTAGTCATAATTAGAACATTTCTTCCAGTGCACTAGAGTGATTAGCTTCTTCTCTTCTGACACAGATCCGCGTAATAATCCCCTCAGGCACCACCATTCCAATTAGTGGATGTTCAAAAGTACCGAAAGATCAGTATCTGAACGACAAGGTTAACGACTGAAGATCATGGATCTTCAAGAAGCTCATCTACCATACAATAAGCCTGTGTGGACTGCGTTATTAAAACCCAAAACGGCTAGTAGCACACCAGGGATAAGGTGATCGTGACTCCCATACTTTACTTAGACTTGACAGTCGTTGTGAAACAATATCCAAGAACAAATGACGGAGGTTTTGATTTAACAAAACTCTATGAATAATTATTCACCCATTTACTGAGTCAAGAACACAAGCATACACGAAAAAACGTAGTTTTTGCAAATCGAAATCCATAATATGATGAATCTTGCGAATAGTTGCGAATAGTTAACAACTGGGTGGACGTCTCAATTCTGTGACAACATCACTTATAGAACCGTGCAATCAAGACAATCAGGGCCTGGATTTTCGAAGCTCTCTTAGCGCTAAGATAGTCGTAAGTTAATGTTAATGTATGGCACTTACGACTTTCTTAGCGCTAAGAGAGCTTCGAAAATCTAGGCCCAGGAGAGTGTGAGCAACTTGGGCATATAAACATTCAAAAATCGAAATTCGCCTAGACATGAGTCTATATGGTACTATTGCCACAGGAACGTACTGTGTACCGGTTTTTAAATATAATATATATGGCGACAGAACTACAAAGGGAATCAGATTCTTGAGAGCGATTTTATATCACTGCTTGGATAAGTCATTAGAGAAACCTTGTGGTTTCAGAGGAGAAACGACAAGACCCGGGAGGCCAGGTGAAATAGGGTCTCACGTGGCGTGGTACTTGATGCATGCAGTTACATGCATACATGTCTGAGGATTAATGTCAGTGTTTTGTAGTGCCAGCCCCCTGAGATACTCATCTCAGGCAATAGACTGAGCCCAACAACCCTTGTTATGTGCCCGTAATGCAGAGCGGACCCGTGAAGCTACAGGAAAGAATTGGTTCTCAGTAACCCATACTTGTCGTAAAAAGCGACTAACGGGATCGGGTGGTCAGGCTCACAGACACATGTCATCGTATCCCAATTGCGTAGATCGATTGCCACGCTGGTGATCACTGGATTGTCTGATCCAGACTCGAGTATTTACAGCCGCCGCCATATAGCTGGACTATTGCTTAGTGTGGCGATGATCAACAGAAAGACAAACAAACGAAACATTTGTCGGGGGAAGCTGTATTTCTACGAATACCTCGTTGTTCAACGCACGAAGTCGTCCACAGCATATTCATTATTCTCGTGGTCTGGTCCAGACTAGATTATTTACAGCCGAGTGCGGTGTTAAACTAAACTCACTCACTAATGCAGAGCGGTAGGCAAGGTAACAACAAACACCATCTTATTGTGGTATGACGCGATCGGGAATTGACATACCACCCGCTGTTCAGTACATGTCAGGCATGTATCCACTATACCACTGAAGTGGCACTGAAATGTGCGGCTGAGAGATGTAACTAGAGTAAACATAGTGAGTGAGTGAGTTTAGTTTTACGCCGCAATATTCCACTCAGCAATATTCCAGCTATATGGCGGCGGTCTGTAATTAATCGAGTCTGGAACAGACAATCCAGTGATCAACAGCATCGATCTGCGCAATTGGGAACCGATGACATGTGTCAACCAAGACAGCGAGCCTGACCACCCGATCCCGTTAGTC